TTAAACAGAAACCTGAATTCTAAAGCTGCAGTTACTTTGGATGTATGTTACACATCAAACAAACTATATTGTTCAAACATATAGCTTTGTTAAATCCTTCCTTTCCTAACAATATTTCTCTAACCAGAAAGAAAGCTCACAGTAGCAGATACATAAGGATCCTAAATTACCTAAACATTCGGAATTTTTTTTTTCCTGAAATTAAAATCTTTGTATGCTAATGATTAAAATCTTGGTAACAAAAGATTAAAAATCAATCCAAATAATTCTGGATTATGCGGAGATTAAGTAAAACAGCAGCAAATGCTCCTACTTCAATTCAGACCAGAAAACAAAACAAAAATAATTAAGTAAAAAATTAAAGCATATCGCCAATACTAACTAACAACTCATCTAAGGGAGCGAATTAAAAGATAAAGAAAAGAAATACAATCAATATACTATATCTACCATAGCATTCAAGTTTACTAACCGAACAATCCAATATATATAGAAAAAAAATATATATATATATATATATTCAGATCATTTGCTGTTGTTTAACATCTTACCAAAAGAGAACCAATAAGAGAATCTGTATGGAGCAATGCAGTCTGAGCAGTTTTGTTCTGTGAAGAAGTCGTGAGCAATGAGAATTAGAATGCTTGGGAGGAAAGAGATTTATCTGATTTCAGAGGAAGGAGCAGCCACTGATGATTTGATGAAAAGTATATTCCTTGCCATTGAGACCAAATCAACACCAAATTCTTTCAGGCATTTCCTCAAACAGGTGGAGGGTGGGGAGGTGTGTGACTGAGATTTGCTAGAAGGAGACAGAGGGAGGCAGGGAGAGAGACGAGAAAGTAGAAAATATGTAATCAAACCAGTAATTTAAACATGCGTATTTAAATGCAGATTCACACAATTGAAACAAACTCAGTTGGATAATCGGCGGAGACTTTGGAGTTGCCTGAGGTAGACGGAGCTGCCTGAGATTCGACTTTGGACAGAGGGTGATTGAGTATGTGAATCTAACAAATCTGGACGTGAGAGAGAGAAAGAGAGAGGAGAGAGAAGGATGTCGCGATCGCCAGGGAAAAAATCAATGGAGTTCCGCAGGAAAAAATCAATGAAGTTTACAACAGAGAGGAAAATATGAAAATGAAAATGAAGTCGAGAGATTAGGCATTTGATGAGTTCGTCGGATTCTCGCCTGAGGTAGTCTCGAATATGTAGTCTAGTTTGCAACAGAGAGTTCATTTTCTGATGAGTTCGTCGGAGAGAGAGAAGTCGAGAAATTAAGCGAAATATTTTTTTTCTTATTTTTATTAATAATTTGTGACGATTAACTTAAGCGCCCGCAATTAAACAGAAAAATAAAATTTAAATAAAAATGACAATTAAATATAAAAATAAAATTTAAATTATTTTTATTAATAAAACGTCAATTTTAGTTGCGTTTAAATTTAACGTCAGAAATTAAATGCCGAATTTGCTCTTGTTTCTCGTAGGATATTCGCATATCACGTGTCATGCACGTGATAGGCTTAAGGACAGGTTAATAAAAAAAATAATGATCTTTTGACGTAATCACCAAATTGACATCAACAATGATGTTTCGTTGGGCCATGTGCGAAGCCAGGATTGTTTGCTAAGGGGCGCAATTGGTGAGGCAACAAAAAATTTATAGTTGAATAAAACACAATAAAATCAACGTTTAAATGACACATTGTAGTATTAATTATTTTTAATAAAATTAAGAAAATTAAAATAAGTTTGTTATATTAATTAAATGTAACATAAGTTCAAATCAATTCATCAAATAATCAACAACTTAAACTCAATTCTATAATTACCCGAGAAAAACTAACTGCAAAATACGAAAAGCCAAAAAAAAAAAAATAAAGAATATGCAGATCTCCTAATTATATATATTCTAAATGACTTTGGCTTGTATATTTGTAGAGTTTGTGCAAATCACATTGTCTTGTGAAATTATAACCCTTATATTACTTTATTCATCGACTATTGGTTTGAACACATTGGAACCATAAAAATATTCCAGTGGATTATTTGTCCAAATTTAACCGTAATACTAAGTTTAACAATTTGTACAAAAAAAAAATACAAATTAGAGTGATTAATGTTACAATTTGGCGAGAGGTAAAAAATTATGTACTTTTAAGGTGAAAGGTCTATCTTGAACATTTTTAAGGCGAAAAGTTCATAAAATACGTAGTTAACAAAAATATCATTAATGAAAGAGGTTAGTTAAAAACTTCCACCGTATCCCACCACCACCACGCATCTCCACCGATAGTGAACTACATAACAGTGAACTAAGAAACACCAATGTATTTTGTTATATATTATGGATGAAAGAAGAGTTGAATTTTTTAATTCACTGTTTTTTAGTTCACTATTGGTTTGGGGTAGGGGATGGGGGATGGTGGGTGGTGGTTGTAGATTTCTACGGAAGAAGAGTTGGATTTACCCACGAGAAAGACAATGATTCTTGGTTGGGTAAAGTGCAAGACATAGGAGGTAATATTGTTATTTAAAAGAAAAACAAATTAGTTTTGATCTTTTGCCTTAAAAGTTCAGTTGAACTAGACCCCATGCCTTAAAAAATATATGGCTCGACTTATTGACAAATTAGGTACGAATTTTGTAGTTTTCAACAATTCACACTAAAAAAAAAAAAATGATGTAATTAGATTGGATTAGAAGAAAAAACAAACACCTGACACAGTTTCAATGCCTTAAAAGTACCTTACTTGGAGTTAATGACTCAAAAGACCATCGGACAGAATTTCTGACCCATTTTTACTATTTAAAAAGTAAAACTAGTTAAATCATGTGGGCCTAATTTGTCAATTATACGTTTTCTCATTTTGACTATGGAAGTAATTTTACTGATTTGAACGTGTTGGACCTCCAAATATTCAAATATCTGACACTTTACACATAAATTTTGGATAAGAATAATTTATGGGAAGTCTAAAATTGAGCAATTTATATTTGTGTCACAAATTCGAGTAACTAAAGTTAATTTTGAAGGATAATCAACCAAAAAGATACATAATAAGGAATTAATTGGTCAGTTAAATATCCAAGAAAGAAAAAATCGTTAGTTTGAAGAATATTTCTGATCTTTAAATTTCTTTGATGAATTTATTTTCAATTTTATCAATTCATGAATGGAAAATGGACTCTACTTGTGTCCTATCTTGTCACAAAGTTTGATTTCCCTAACTTGTTTGCCGTTTCTTTTTGCTTTTCTCAAATTGGATTGATTAAAAAAATTTTATAAACTCATCCATTCATCCGGTATCTACATAGGTATATGATTTTGTTCAAAAAAAAAAAAAAATAGGTATATGATTTATTTCTACATTTACTAGATTGACTCAAGAGGATGGTACATTTTTTGCACTCACAACACCAACATTAAATTTGCAGGATTGCAAACCATGCTTCTAGATTGTATTTAATAAAAAACTTTTTTATCTCACTAATCGCTGTGTGAATGAGATATATATACATGCTTATTTATTTATTTATTATTTTGTCATGGTTGTGAATGATTATATATATATACATGGAAATGATTTCGGACAATGTACCTCGAACTTCCAAAAATTGAGAATTTGTAATAAGACAGAATTTCCATGAATTCGATTTGTTGTTTGCTATTATCACTTTAAGGTTCTAATATTTGTCAATTTTTATCTTGCATGGTTTAGGAGTAATGAATATCAACATCTTACTGTTCAAAAAAAAATATCAGCATCTTAGAATAAAAAGTATCTTTTCTAAAATATAGATCATCTTAGGTAAAAAGTTAAAATAGATTGACATTTGTTAGAAAACTCCAATGGAGCTCTCTAATAATTTCATTCAGTGTTGCAGAATAGAGTGATTTTTGTTCTTTAAATGTAGAAATTCAAATTGGACTCTCTACTTTAATTGATCCAAATAAAGAGCCAATTGAAGATAAATTTATAGGGGTTGACTACGTTAAATAGAAAATTGAGTGGAAATAGAAAATCTATTGAAAATTATCTCAGAAAGTTTCATTGTTTGGAGTTATCTAGCATGGTTTAATTGATCTCTGTACAAAAGATGACTGGTGAGCTTTGCTCGGCCCTACTTCCAGTTTGGTCATATTAACAGTTTGGCTTATTCAGCCGAATGTTTTGGTCATCTGCTCAGTACATTGTAATAGAGACTGTGATTCCCCACGTGCCTTGCGCATGTGCTTCTTGTCGTGTGCTTTGGGACACGCAACTTCATTAATTAGCTCAATCATGCACAATCGTTTTATGCACCATCACTTGCCTTTTAGGGGATGTGTGGCATGTGGTACACGTCGACTGGCGTTCTTTGATATTTCATCGTTTTCGTATTTAATGTATTGTTTGGTCTCTCGCAAAAAGACAATGTGCAAGTTTTTTCTCTATAGAACTTCTTTCTTCATTTAATGCAAGTGTCCATTCCAGTGCAAGCGTCGTTTCCCTTTAATGCCTTTCCGTTTCTTTCTTAAGAGTCGTCTCTTTCCTTTTTCTTTCCACTTTCTCTATAAGCTTTAGAGCACACTGCATTTTGTACGATTTATTTCTATTTTCCATGGCTCCCCTTATAAAAGAGGATATTATTGGCTTTAAGGCACCTAAGGCCAATGAGGCCCTTATTGGTTCTAGGGAGCCTATAGCTTTGCACATAATTTGCATCACCGAAGGTGGAGTCCATTTCCCTCTTCATCCCCTTCTTCTCAGGGTTTTTTCTACCAACTTCTTTCTAATAGTAATGGGAGTTGTGGCCTTGAATAATCTCCTTAACAACAACCTTAGTCTCTAGGAGATTCTGTACTACTGCATCGTCAAGCTTGTTGGTAATGACAACTACTACCTGGCAGTTAGGAATAAAAGCCGCTACTTCATCACTCAACTTTCTAATTCCAACAAGAAACATGAAAAAGACATAGTGATTGTTTTTGGGAACTTGGAACACAAGGCTAGGAAAGTGTTATTGTTTTTGGAAACTTGGAACACAAGGCTGGGGAAGTGTCTGACTATCGATGCCCATATGAGAGTGGTGCTCTAGGTATTCCCTTAAATGTTTTAAATTATTTCCTTTTTTAAGAAGAGAATCTTAGCAAAGTCTCTGATTTGCCTTCTTTTCAAATAACGAGTAGGAGAAGATATGAAGAGGAGAGTCTCAGATCTGTCCGCTCTCAGATCGGTCTGTCAACATGGAAGATCTTAAGATGGTGTGGTCTTTCAATAAGACCCTCTTTTGCCAAGCTGCACACCAACTACTTGGTTATAATCCCTCATACCGCTCTTTCATAGTTGTTCCAGATAAGCCTAATGCTTGACTTGTCAAGGGCCAAGAAGCACTCAAAACCCTTAGAGCTTTTACCCCAAGGTCCCGCCAAAAGTCTGTCATTTCTGGGCAAGGCCGACTGGTGAAAAAATTTACTAACCTCGTCTTCAACTCTTCTGACGCATCCCTAAGTGTTATCATGGATGCTTCAGTTTCCCAAACTCGCCTTATTACTCAAGGTCTTTCCCCTCCTCACTCTATTCGGCCATTTGTGATTGAGGCTGAGACGATACCGATATCAGATAAAGATCTGGTCATTGCTCCTACTTTTGATCAGCCCAAAGTAGTAGATACCCTAGGCGATGATGCTTCTAAGGACATTGCCGCTACTTCCCCCAAGGCCAAGTCTTCTCTCTAGTTGAAAAGGCAACAAAAGCACACTGCCAAGAAGAAGAAGGTCATGGAGATCAATGAATTTGATCAAGGCAAGTAGGTGATTTCTCCTTTTCACCTCATCCTGAAGGACAAGGGCAGAGAGATTACAGTAAAAGACTCTGTTTTGGCTGCTAATGAATCGATGAGTGATAACTAGATCTCCTGAAGTGCCCTTCAATTGATGGTGCTTATAAGTTTCCTTTTTCTTTCTATAGTTTGATGATATGAGATTTGACTAAGTGCTTTTGTTGTAGTATTGCACGAAGTTTGTGCCCTAATTTCTCAAAGGATAAGGCTATGAAGATGGTCGTCTAAGATCGAATGACTACCCTAGAGAAGAACTAACAATTGGATGCCAAGGTTTCCAAGATTTGTGAGGAGATCTTGGCCCTCCAAATCCAAATGATCGATCTGGAAGAAGAGAGAGACCGTTTGAAGCCTTCCAATGACAACTTGAACTCCTTAGAGGCCGAGGCCTCTCGCGATCTCTCTCAAACTCAAGAAAAATATGCTTCCCTTCTTGAAGAGTTTAAAAGTTTCAAACCTGATTCTAAGGCTAAGGAAGATGTAGCCTTTGAAGATGGGATAGAGAAGGTCGGGGAAGTGCTTGCCCAAAAAAGTTAGCCATATTGAGAAGGTAAATTTCAAGAACGGTTAGGATGAAGCTCTATGAGCTACCAGTGTTCTGCTGACCTCTAAGCTCTTCCCTCAGATCTTCTGATTAATATAATGAATTTTTTTGTGATCCTTGGTTGGTTTTCTACATTCACATAAATTTATGTCCCTCTTCCCCTTACAGAGAGGCTTGAAATCAATGAAGGGTTCAGCCTTCATACATAAAAAAATTTCATGCCCCCTTCCCCTTAGCTAAGAGGCTCAACCTCAATGAGGGGTTTGGGCATTTATATTGGTCATTTGTGATGGCTATTGTACTGACCCGCCGATCTATTCGGGCTCAAATTTGTACCATTTTGCCTTCACCTCCGTTTAGAGCCTTGGGCCTAAGTTTGATCAGGTTCAAATCTTTACTTTTTGCCTTTGTTAGGATTTTTCCCTCCCTGCCTTGGTAGTAGCTGTTTAATGCTTGAGCCTACTTGGATCTTATGCTTAGAACTATTCACAGGACTTTTTCCTTTGCCTTGACAAATGTTCATTTGATTGTATAGATTTTACAAAGGCATTTTGTAAGTGAAAAATCTTTTATTGATATAAAACACCTTATAGTTTTAAAGACCTAGCTAGCTAATCTTGAAGGTATTTCAGGTCAATTTGGCTTATATTGAAGGTAGTTCAGGTCCATTTCTTTATTATGGAAGGCATTCCGACTTCCTGATCAAAGGCACTTCGATATTTGCTTTCTTTTGAGGGTACTGCAAAAGTAGCACTTTTGTAGGTTTATTGTGTTCCAGGGTCACAGAAGTGGATGCCATTCTTATGGCTGCCGACTCCCTTCATTCTTCTACCAGGTCCAAGTCCTTGGCCATGCACTCCTCATTTTTGGTACTGTTTGCCAATTCAGACCTTAAGAATCGGGAGGCTAATCTCTAGTAGAATAACTCCTTTCATCCCTTATACTAACGTGTAGGGAGTTTTCTCGGTTAATTGTTGTTAGGGGTGTTAATCGGGTCGAGCCTTTTAAGCTTTGATATGCTTAGGCTCGACTCAAAATTTTCAAGGCCTGTTCAAGCTCGAACACCGAGCCTAAATTTTTGCTCAAGCTTGGCTTGGCACAAGCTCGTGCTAAAACCGAGCTCTAATGCTAAATCTCAAATCTACAATTGAAAGTTCAAAAGTCTCAAATGCACGAGTCCCAAATCACAAATTTCAAGTTATAGTTCATAAATTTCACATTAAATATACACAAAGATAAATCTAAACTCAAACCCTAATAATCAACAACTTCAAAATTGAATAAAACTAACAAATAGACACCATGAACATATATAATTATATAAAGTAGATTCCCTTCCTTCTCCAATTTGTTGCACCAATTCAATGGGATTTCGGGGATAATGATTCAATCCAGGTTAGATTCACGACGATGATGATTGAAACTGAAATGTGAGAGAGTTGATAAGGAAGATTCCATAGATGCAAACCAATAAAATGAAGAAATTTTTGTGAAGAGTGAGAGACAAGTAGGTCGATTGTGTGTCGCTTCTTGAGAGAGACTTAGAATAACAGTTGGGGAGAAGATGAAATGGGTAGAGAGAGAGCGAGAGAAAGAGAGACAAACTTTAGGGATATCTCACAAGATTGAATGTCTGATGGGTTAGTTGCTCAAGATGGGGAGGGAGAGAGAGAACCATTCGATGGCTGTCAAAAGTGGCAGGCCTTTTTTTGTTGGATAGATATATCTGGTTGTTAAAAATGGAGTATATATTTACTACTGAAGTAACCTCGATATTTTTAAAAATTCATAATTATATTTATACAACTTAATAAAACGAGCTATCTCACGAGTAGCTAGGCTCAAATATAAAAAGAGCTTAAAAAATTGATCAAATTCAGCTCATTTTATAAAATGAGCAAGCCCAAATTGAGCTAAAACTGATCTGAACTAGAGCTGTTTGCAAGCCACTCAAATTGTTTAATAGCCCTATTCATCGTAGTGTGATTTGGTACATCCACAACATGTTGGGCAGCTCTTCTACCCATTTTCCTTTAGTTTTTTCCCGCCTCTTCTTTATCCCTCCCAAGCATTCTAATTCTCATTGCTCACGACTTCTTCACAGAACAAAACTGCTCAGACTGCATTGCTCCATACAGATTCTCTTATTGGTTCTCTTTTGGTAAGATGTTAAACAACAGCAAATGATCTGAATATATATATATATTTATTTTTTTTTTCTATATATATTGGATTGTTCGGTTAGTAAACTTGAATGCTATGGTAGATATAGTATATTGATTGTATTTCTTTTCTTTATCTTTTAATTCGCTCCCTTAGATGAGTTGTTAGTTAGTATTGGCGATATGCTTTAATTTTTTACTTAATTATTTTTGTTTTGTTTTCTGGTCTGAATTGAAGTAGGAGCATTTGCTGCTGTTTTACTTAATCTCCGCATAATCCAGAATTATTTGGATTGATTTTTAATCTTTTGTTACCAAGATTTTAATCATTAGCATACAAAGATTTTAATTTCAGGAAAAAAAAAATTCCGAATGTTTAGGTAATTTAGGATCCTTATGTATCTGCTACTGTGAGCTTTCTTTCTGGTTAGAGAAATATTGTTAGGAAAGGAAGGATTTAACAAAGCTATATGTTTGAACAATATAGTTTGTTTGATGTGTAACATACATCCAAAGTAACTGCAGCTTTAGAATTCAGGTTTCTGTTTAATTCATGGTAAAAGTGGAACTTTTGAAAGAGCATTTGATTGTAGATGGGTTTCTTGAGAGTTACACTCGTTGGATTTTTCATGGGGAAAGGTCATTTGCTTCGGTTTCTAGAGATAATGAATCAAGTGACTCTAGTTCGGGAGATGAAATTCAAGAAATGTTGCATGATGCATTTGGTATTCCCCCTCCAAGTCCAATTTGTGGAATGAGTAGTGATGAACCTGAAAGGAATAATAGAGAAGGGTCTGATCAGGCAACACAAAAGTTTTTCAAACTATTGAATGAAAGCTGAACGAAAGTTATATCCGGGATGTACCAAGTTTTCGACACTATCAGCTGTCGTTCAATTGATGCACATCAAATGTCTTAATGGATGGAGCGACAAGTCATTCACAATGTTACTTCAAATACTAAAGGATATGTTACTTGAGGGTAACACATTGCCCACTTCGTTTTATGCAACTAGGCAATTGATTAAAGATTTAGGTCTAGATTGCATTAAGGTACATGCATGTCCCAATGATTGTATATTGTATTGGAAGGAGTCAGCTGATAGGACTGATTGTCAGAAATGTCAAACATCTAGATATAAACAAATTGATGGTCAAGTAGATGAAACAAACATTGGAGGGCAAAAAATCCCGCAAAAAGTTGTAAGGTATTTCCCTTTAATACCGAGACTTCAGAGATTGTTTATGTCATCAAAAACACCAGCATTGATGACATGGCATGCTACAGACCGAACAAATGATGGGGTACCAAGGCATCCAGCTGATTCTCTTACTTGGAAAACTCTTGACCAGTTGTATCCCGATTTTGCTAATGATGCACGTAATGTTAGACTTGGATTAGCGTCTGATGGGTTTAATCCATACAGGACAATGAGTATTTCTCATAATACATGGCCTGTTAGAACATATGGTTTTGAACCATCTCCGAGAGATGTGTTTGGACATAAAAAATTAGAAGAGATGCAAGCAATGCAGTCCAACTAGATGAGCAATTGAGTAGACATAAGACAGAGATGGAGGCTAAGCAGTTAGAGATGGAGGCTCAGAAGGCACAAATGGAGAAGCAAATGAGTCATATGGAAGCTAAGTTTGAGGCTCAACAAAAACAGTTTGAGGTTTTTCTCGTTCAAATGCGTGCAATAGGTATGTCTATTCTCGAACCAGCTCGCAAAAACACAGATCCACTTCAAGTTAAAAAAGTACTAAAAACTTAAGCGATTTATATTTTGAGTTAGAAGAGTTATTGTATTATTTTATTATTTTTTTCCACGAATATTAAGTATTTGCAATCTTAAAAGGTACCTGATGCATCTAGTACTCAATCATCGATGAGGAGTGAGTCAAGAAGTCCGGCAGTGCGAGACACAGAGTTCCAAGGTCATTTAAGAGCATCTTCATTTGGTCAGGTGAGTCAATAAATGGAATAGTATTGATCTTGTTGCAATTACTTTGAAGTACCTTTGTAGAGGCTCCCATGGATTTGTTACTTTGAAGTGTACCATTCTTTGTGCACTGTCTCTTTACTCTCTGCGTATCAACACTTCTATGTTTTCTAGGCAAAATTCATGGTTGATCTTCCTGGCATTGAACAGATTTGCTTTCTCAATGCAGTTGTTTTATAACTTTATATTTGCTTGATCAGTTTCTCAAAGTTTCTTCTCAGAAAATTGGTGGCATGGCTTTTGAGAAAAACCTCTGTTACTATATCAGTATTGTCGCACCTCGAAATTTTATTTTTAAAAAAAAAAAAAATACCCCGGCGTGATTAAGGAATAAAATCACACCGAACTTACAATAATCTTCCTTATATTATTTTATTTTGCGTATGCGTACATAATCCTCACAAGATCATTTCAAATATTCTTGATACAACATAAGGAGAAATAATAATAGCAGACTCTATTTATCATCCTTTCAGCCTATTCTTCAGCTCGACTTCATATATCTGAAAAATATTAAATAGGGATGAGCTCACCAGCTCAGTAGGATAACATTTATCAATAACTATAAAAGTTTCAAAACAATGCATAATATAATTAAACCGCGAATAAATGCAGGAATAGGGCAAAGTAATGAATCAAATAAATAAATAAATTTCAGCACATATCGATCATATTAATCCGTCAATTTTCTGGTCCACGTATTAACCGCCTCCGGAGAAAACTTTGGGGTCTTGCACTCTAGGGAACCTAATGCCCTTCTTGTTTTTCTGGAAACACCAATATCTGAAATTATATGGTGCTACACAATCTACCACGGCAACTGATATTACTAACCGGTGAACCCAAGGAATAGTAGGAATTCTGTGAATCTCGGAAGGATTACGCATCTACTAACCCTCTACTCTCGATTATATGCATTCATAGTAATTTCATCAAAATCACAAAATAAAGTCATATCGTAGTCAGACTCCACAACAAATTAAACATTAAATATAAATAATAAAAAAAAAAATTTATTATGCAACGTGGTTTCAGGAAATAATCAAGGTCTCGATAAAAATACAATATGTGCATGATAACAATTTATTTATAAAATCCCAGTTTGACCCCCTGATCATAGCAATATAATATTACATTATATAATTTAAAATAGATTTGATATGAAACCCCCATATATTCATGAAATGCATCAATGATAGTAAAAGATAAAAGAAATCTTACCTTCTTCTTGACTTCTATTCGATACCGTGTACTCTAACAAATAACCAAAATAATATTTTAGAATAACAATAAGTAATAAGGGTTTAGTTAACCTAAAATAATTTTCGGAATAACTAATGAAAGATAATGATATAATATAAATTTCAATTATATAAAAATTAAAATAGATGACCTAATTAATGTGTTAATAATTTATATATATGAGTCATCCCAAGTACTAGGATGCCTTTTCTCCTGTCACCAGGCATATGTTAAACAAAAATCCTGTGAAACCGATTAGTCAATGAAATGAGGAAAGACTAACAATCAATGGTGCATCATTGTACTTGGGATCATTGTACTGGGAAAGACTAACAATCAATGGTGGATCATTGTACTGGGATCATTAAAATGAGAAAATTAGTCAATGGTGGCTCCATGAATGTTAGTGTCTCTGGGATCATTGTACTTTTCTTTTTTCATGTTGTGATGGATCACCATAGAAATGGCTATAATTCTACCAATTATCTTTTGTAATATTGCAATTTTCAAAACATGCGCTGTTCATTTTTAAGCTTATGGCTACCTTGTTATTGACTTAACTTTAGATTCTTGTGAGAAAATTTGACACTAGTGCTTTTCATTTTTATTGTTTTATGTGGAATTCATGTGTTAATTTATATTAAATATAGGTTGATCAACAAAAGAGAGCGAAATTTCTGCCCAAGTGACTCTCCCTCTTAAGCCTAAGGTTCAGGATTATGCTGCTGGGAAAGAGAAGTGCTGTTGTATTATCCAGTGGAGGATGTTCAATGGGGAGATGTTTTTTTTAAGGATTGGAGAATGATGTTGAAAAGCTTGTTTTTGGAGGATGCTGTTGAAGCTTATTTTGGTTTGGATTTTTTTAAATATTGTTGTTTTCTTATTTGCATTTTTTTAGCAGATTGTTTTGGAAATTTTGAGCAGACTATTTATAGGGAAACAAATCGTATGACAGATTTTTTTGTGCTGATTTATAAAAAAAAAAATATCAACTAGTTGCCAGAAACAATAATTCTTGGCTTTTAAATAAACGCCGTTAATTAGCTCCGTTCACCGAAATTTTAAAAGGAACTCGTTGATTAAATAAGCATTGCTTTACTGGGTAAGAAACGTCACTTTAATTTTTGTGTCGTTTAATTATACGTCAGTAATTTTTTCGACGAAGGTTTCACTGACCTTAATGACAAACGTCAATGATAAAATTTTGTAGCGTTTATTTACATTTATCGGCGTTTAATAAACGCCGATAAATATCTTTTTTCTTGTAGTGATAGCCAAAATCACTAATTGCAATTAGTTTTTGGGCATAGACGTTGACTATGCGAATTAAATTGGGACAAAACATCTTAATTTAATTTGAATTTGGATAATACTCGATTTAAACTCAATCCAAATAAGTGAATTTTTGTTCAATTGAGTTAAAACGAAATTGACTAAAATTCTAGTCCAAGTATGTAACTTAAGAATCAAAATTGGGCTCAATCTATCTTGAATTGGACTTCAATTTAAATTGAACTGAAATTCAATATAACCTAAGAATCAAACCCTAATAATAACTAAATGTCAACTTGAGTTTAAAATTTAAACATGGATAATACTTGGATTAAATTTAAGTTAGAGTTGCACTTGAGTTGACATTTTATAAATTAGTTTGCTCCCAAGTTGAAGTTTTAAAGAACCCAACTTTATAGAGGTGTGCTGTGGGGTAAAACAACCATAATTTTGGTATATTTTACTAGGCTCGTCTAATCGTAAACTGCCACATGCACATTTAAGTATTTCATTGCCCTCATATTTGTAGCCGTTCAGTTGAATTTCCTAGTAATGCTAGAGAATTCAAACAAAGCTCCAAAAGTTACGACCCGACATGACATATGTCCCAAGTGGGTCCCCATATGTGAAAAGCTACGATGGTTCAACGACATCCCAAAACTTCGACAGATCTAACGAGAAGATCCGACAATTTCTTCAGTAGGCACTGGACGATTTCTTCGGAACATTCTTAAACCATTTATAGCCAAGATATTTTCGTTATTTTTTTGTGACATTTGCAACATTCAACAGATCTGACAATTTCTCTCTCTCTCTCCTTGCGCGATCGACATAGAATTTCAATAGACACTATTATTTTTGTCCCTAACCTATGGTAAGTGTGTTTTTTTTGTTCATATAAATTATTTTTTTAACATAGCAACTCATCAACACTTTTAAAAATACAAGCATGTAATAACTTCATCGAGTGGTGTGATGAGTTACTAATAATTGGAGGTTCACCCTTGCTACAAACAAACAGCTATTGGAGTAAGAATACTTTTACTCTCCTTTAAACTACTAATATCATTTTCACATGATTTTGAATTATTCTGAGTGTAAAATTGGGTTGATAGCTTCCACAAACATCAATATCTTTGTTTAGCTACTCTTTTAATTTAGAAATTCGCGCCATCACCTTTGAACACCGACTCTCAATATTTGTAGTCAAATCTGCAACATCAAAGAAGACATTATACATTTTATCAAATCGTTGTGATTTAGGTGTTGTAGACCAGTTAACATAACTTATACAAACTTTGGTGTGTCTTCTTTTGATAGTCTTGCACCATCTTTGTAAGATATACTTGTCAGACACTTTTAAAATCTTTTTATCTAGGAGCTCCGAAATGATATGTTTACGCAATATTTCTCTAAACTGAAACAATCAACAATTGCAGTTTATATTATTGTTGTCCTCATTCACTAAAACTTTGAAGGTTACAATTTGATAATTGTCTCCAAAATGTACATCTTCACCTACTTCATACATCAATACCTTGTTGACATGAAGACAAATTCCAACATATTTTTCCACTTAGTTCTATTTGGAACTCCCTTGAACTTTACTGTTGTATATACATTTTGAAATTATTTTTCCATCTCATACTGAGTTATACAAGGGAGCCACAAGTTATACGAATTGAAGTCTTCTTGATTTTCTTTTTTCAACTTATCTTGTAATGCATTCTCGTATTGTTCAACAACTTGTTTCAAGGTGGTCTTCTAATTAACATACCCATAAAAAATGCATTTATGCTTTCGATTCGCTATGTGGTAGACATGTTTGCCCAAAACATATCTTTCACAAATGCGGGCAGCAAGCGATGTCTCCCCTCATACAATCCAAGTAACCATTCTTACTTTCAAGGCCATACTTTGCAATGAATCGACACCAACCTTCTCCAAATCCTTCTATCATCAACAAATCATAAGCCACATTTCACAATTATAATTTGATAGACTTATATTGCTTATAGCATTTTATATTTTTAGGAAATTTCTTCATGATATGCCAGAAGCACCACTGATGTCATGCATTTCAGCCTCTGTTGCATTTTGCACAATTATACCTTCATCTGTAATAATTACAATGGGATGACATCCACTCATACAAGTAAGTCAATACTGGAATAACCGTGTAAATGTCTCTGTGTCGTCACTTGAGATCAATCCACACCCAAGTAATGTCAATTGTCCACAATGATTTACTCCTACGAATGGTGCAAATGGTGTAGCAAAATTGTAATTAGAATTAGACAATACTTACTATAGTAAATCTTTATCTCTATGTATATTGTTTTATGCAAATCAATTATATAAATCATAATGTATAAAAATAGAAGTGATGCGTTTACTTGAATGCATAATAGCAAGAAACAATAGAAATAAGAAATAATTTGAGACCTGTGAAACACAGTTTCATTAAGACAAATTTGCTCCATCTTGGTGCTCAAGGTTAATGCAAAACTATCTTCCCAAATAGAACATATTTTGTCTTTGAAGAAGTAGCAATTTAATCTCTTAAAAATCAACGAACACAACAAGTGTTTGCTCTTAAATGAAATAGAAATGTAATACAAAGTGAGAGAGAGAGAGGGTGTAAGAATTTTCTATATGAAAAATGGCTTCAAGGGAGTCCTTTTATTGACTCTCGTGTCTATTTAAGTTGCATTGAAGAGACACTATTGTTCATTGAACAATCGCGAAGGGCGTCTCTGGGTTGAAGAGACACTATTGTTCAATGGAAAGGCATCTCTGGGGTGAAAAACAGACACAATCAAAACGACACCAAATTCAAAAAATAATATACATGAATTTTGAATTTCAATTGGAAGAATAAGTGAGATTTGAATCTAGATCCATTTGGTTGACTCATAACCCGCACCGCTTCAAATACAATTTTGGTAAAAAGATACTTTCTTGTTGACCTAAACCCAAGCGTAGGTCGGGTCGTAGTGAGGCGAGTAAGCGTCGCACGCTTGTGGTAACCAATTTTGTGTAGATGTTCTCTCTACTCATAAAATTGTGGTACCCATTGAGTCTCATCTCTTATAAGCCAACTAGAAGTATATTAAAGTTTTTGGTTTTTAACCAATGTTAGACAAGCTTGTTATACTACACTACGTCATTCTTAGTTTCTTCCATCCATTTAAGTAAGTCATTTTGAGATACAATTTTCCATTTAATACTTAATGATTTTGAACAAGTAAATACACCACGTTAATCTCCTCGCGGAAGAGAACAGGGTTAAATATGGTTCCACAAATTTTGAGGTGTGGGTCCCACTTTTATTTAAGCCTAAAATTACTCCAAATTACTTTCTTTAAAACTAATTTTTACAACAATCCCCCACATTAATGAAAATTTATTGTATGAAAATGGAGACACTAATTCAAATATAGTTGAAGGTTACTACATCAAGATAAATAGCCTAATGGCCTTGAACCTTCCTTAGTAAAAGACTATCGGATTTGGTTGGCTAATCAGTGTACTTGATGTTTTTAAATAGTCAGCTGTTGTGTAAATCAAAATAATAGAATTCATACAATTTTTCTTCGGATACAGTTAGTTGTCACGTTTGCGTTCATTTTGGCCTCGAACACCACTTGGTTTTATGTGTAATTTAGAGAATTCAACTAAGATTATCATAGAAACGTCATTTTCCTACTCACATAGTTGATTTCTGATTAAGAGTATCCTGCTATACCCTACTTAGACCTATCCAAGTCACATAAATCATTAAAGCATAACTTTTTTTTTTTTGGAGGGGAAGGGAGACTTGAACCATTGACCTCAAGAAGGTAAAGTCTTCACAGGGTAAGGAATTTCATTGCACTAAAGACCCATTGGTATTAAAAGCGTAACTTATCCTACTTCTTGCAGCAGATATGCACTGTCTTATCATAGGAATGGGAAGGAGTTCAAACCTCCTCAGTGCTTCTTTGAGTTACACATAATTTGGTTATCCCTTTGAACATAGAACTTGGGATCTTCTGTCAGCTAGGTTTGGTTGCCATTATAGTGAATCTTGATTAATTAATAGGCTTTAAGCCCATTCCACTCGATAACCTTTACACTTACTCTCTAGCCAAACTTTTTGTAAGCGAATTCACGATGTTATCCTCTCACTTCACACAATCAATGAATATAATACCATTCAAGAGCAACTATTTAACGGTAATATGTTTACGACGTATGCATCGAGACTTACCATTATACATTTTATTTTGTGCCCTTCCAACCGTAGATTGACTATCACAATGTATACATATTGTTGGCATAGGCTTTGGCCAATTTGAAATATCCTCTAAGAAATTGTGAAACCATTCTACTTCTTTTCCAGCTTTATATAAAGAAATGAACTCAAATTCTATTGTACATCTAATAATACATATTTGTTTCAAAGATTTTCAAGACACATCTGCACTTGCCAAGGTAAAGACATATCCACTCATGGGTTTTAACTATTTAGAATATGATATCCAGTTGGTAACAGTATATCCTTCTAGCACAACTGAGTATTTTGTGAA